CCGAGAGTGGGCACTCCACCCTTTTCTGGCTGATGACTTGGAGGTTCTAATTCTTATCCCAGCTGCTGCACACTTGACTTGTAGAAGCACATCATCTGTGATACATACAGCACGTCATAACCTGACTGACAAAGATGACAAGGGATGAATCATGGCAGCTTTCAAGAAAATGAAGGTGAATGCAGAATGCCGCATATTCCAGGAAAAATGAACAAATTATTTTTTCTTTTTTGTGAAAGGCAAGCCAGTGTGCTTCCTTTGTGGTGAGGTGCTGGCAATAATGAAAAGGGCAAAGGTTGAGCGCTGCTACAGTTTGAAACATGCTAAACTTGATGAGTAGAGAGGAGAAATGCACTCGTAACTCAAAATGAATCTTCATCTTTTTGAGTTTGAGTGCTCAAAAAGCATCTTTCACACAACAACAGACTGACAGCGAGAATATTACGTGTGCAGGTTTTGTGGTGAGTGCAATTTATAGCCATGAAGTTGAAATCTAATGGGGCTAAGTAACACAGTAGCTATAGACCTTTTTGTTGGTCTTTCGTTTTTGCATCCCTCGGTATGTGTTCATAATAGTGTGGCCCTCAGACAACTATATAAAAATTTAAATGGCCCTTCACATGAAAAAACAAAACCCAACAATCAAACACATGGAGAGTGAAGTAGAAAACACACAGTGCAACATAGGAAGCCCATCAGCCCATTGGGAACGTTACTTTAAAGTGCAGACTTCACAAAGGCCTGAAATAATTATCCACTGCCAAAAACACACAGCACTTGCAAATTCAGCATTCTAACACAAAGGTAGAGAAGAAACCCAGAGTCAGAGGGAAGTGGAATGTGAGCGGCTCCTGCCACAGCCAATCAGCGTGCAGCCTTTATTCCTACCTGTACCTGTGTCTACTGAGCTGTGCCAGTATATGCACATAATTTAGCCTATACTTTATAGTCAGTGCTAATTATAAAACAAAGCATTTCAGTCTTTTCAACATTCATGCTGAAAGACTTTCTTCATCGAGTAATTTAATGCCTTAGGAAACGAATAAATGTGTAATAAATTACTTCTTTGAGTAATTACTCAAACAATGAGTAGCTGTGATGAATCCAGGTCACTGTACTTTCAGGAAACAAAGAAACTACATGAGCACACACTTCGCTTTCATATCATTCACAGTAAGCACGCCTAGTTCTTAACACACTTAAAGAACATTTGCCTGCATTTACAGAACAAAGTCGATGACTCATCTCTGGTCAAACAGTGATGAAAGAGTGTGCATGAAGTAGAAAACATGGCTCACACAGACTCACCTTCACTTTGCATCTCAGGATTTTCATATATTTATGTCAGGGCAGGGCAATTTGGATATATATATATATATTAACATGCCAGCATGAACAATAACAGCAAACTACAAAAGCCTAAGCCTTACAACTATCATAATGTCAAATTATCTACTTTAAAGATTTACATTCTTGCAATATGGACTAGACTAAGATTAAATGTCTCTCTATAATGACAAGCATCACTGTTAGTGCATTTAAATGTTTATACAAAAGGGAGAAATGTAGGAATGCACTACAAACCACTTTCACACATAGCAGACTGCTGATAAACTTTGTTCTCTTTTTTTCACCAGGGTACTTTTTTAGTGGAAATTAAATGCAGACGAAAGAGGAGATACAACAATGTCATACAGTTGAATAAAGAAAAAAGAAAGGACTCCGCACCTGTAGACAGGCACCCACACTAACAGGGTATCTCAGCTGGACAAACATCCTGTTTGAAAACCACCATCTGTCTTTGGTGAAACAGTAACAGGAGACCAAACTAATTTAGAGGCAGCTCGACAAATTAAACATGGCAGGACATCCCCTTGATGATAAAGAAATTCACTTTTTATTGGCAACAAGTGAAACCTAGTCTGAAGCGGGCAAAGAAAGTTCAGCTTGTGGTTGCAGGTTTGTCTCCTGTCACTGGATGAATAATATCGTCAAGTACTGCTGCAGGGTGTAGCCCCCCTTGCACACACACACACAACAACACACACACACACACACACACACACACACACACACACACACACACACACACACACACACACACACGTATTTATATCCTTGTGGGGACATCTCTTGACATAATGCTTTCCCTAGCCCTTACCCTAACCCTAACCATCAAAAATGAATGCCCAACCGTGACCCTTACCCTAAACCTAACCATAACCTAATTGTAACCCTGACACTAAAACCACATTTTGAGTCTCAAAAATGCTTTCAAACTGTTTGTCCTATACTTGTGTTTGTCCCCACAAGTATAGTAAACTACCAATTTTTGGTCCCCATGAAGATGTTAATACCCGTCCACACACACACACACATAACTGACAGAGAAATATACTGATCAGGCAAAACATTGTGACCACCGACAGTTAAAGGTAAATAACTGATCTTCTCTTCATCATAGTATCCGTCAGTAGGTAAGATATATTAGAGATTAACTGAACATTTTGTCCTTAAATAGAAATGTGTTAAAAGCAGGAAAAATGGACAAACGTGGGGATTTGAGTGAGTTTGACAAGTGCCAAATTTTGAAGAGCCTGGCCTGTGTTGTCTGATCCAACAGATGAGCTACAGTAGCTCAGATTGATTCAAAAAGTGCATCACGGTTTGTTGTGTATAGGGCTGCATAGTCACAGACCAGTCAGGGTGCCTATGCTGACTCCTGTCCACCACCAAAAGCACCAACAATGGGCACGCAAGCAAGAGAACTGCAACACACAGTAATGGTCCAGTGACCTGGTCTTATGCATCACATTTTCTTTTACATCAATTGGATGACCGGGTTTGTGCGCATCGCTTAACTGTATAACACCTGGCACCAGGTTGCACTATGGGAAGAAACAAGCTAACAGAGCAGGCTTGCCCAAAGCAGTGTGATGCTTTGGGCAATGTAACATCCTTGGCATGTTCCATCTAAATGGACTGGTTCTTATATAGTGCTGTTCCATCCTATCAAAGCACTCAAAGTGCTTCACACAACTTACCTCATTCACCCAGCCCTTTTTTCTATGCTCTAAGTGCTTTCTATTTAACATTCACACACATTCACACTCCAATGTCCAAAAGCCACCCCATGGTCTACAATAATACCTAAGCATTGTTGTAGACCATGTACAACCTTTCATGGAAACTGAATCCTGTGAAGGCTGTGGCCTCTTCAGCAGGCCTCAAAGCAAAAATGGTTCAGAAATGGTTTGAGTAGCACAACAATGAGTTTAAAGTGTTGACTTGGCCTTCAAATTCCCCAGATATCAATCCAATCACCCATCTGTGGGATGTGCTGGACACCTTGCAAAACTGCTGCTAACATCTTGGTGCCAGATACCACACTACACCTTGAGGAGTCAAGTGGAGTCCACAACTTGATAGGTCAGGGCTGTTTTGGCACCAACACAATATGAAGCAGGGGTCATAACGTTATGCCTGAACGGTGTACATACAAATGTATACATGTAAACAGGAATACACATACCGCTGGACTAAACCTGACCACATGCTTCTCAGTGATGCCATACCTCAGCAGTGAACCATGAAGCCAGAAATCAGAAGAGGCTCACAGTATTAGTAACAGTATTACTATTAAAATGTTGTCCATTGCTGTATGTAAAAGAAGAGAAGTAGCTGTGGGAGACACAGATGGACAGTCAGCCACACAGCTGTAACAGAGCTGACAGCAACCCATGTTGGCGTGCATGTTCAGTGCCAAGTTTCTCTCAGATATTACTCAGCTTATATAAAAGAAGTGCAGGTGTGCATGAAACATCTGCCTTTACCTGCTAATGCCTGGAAATTTTCCAACGCCAGATTTTTTTTATCTCTCTTTGTTTACATATTCATTTCATACATGTATTTATTTAGCCTTTTATCAGTAATAAGCGTTGGAACATCCTATATTTATACGAGCACTTATTTGTATTTTACGGACGCACAACAAGTTGCAGCACACGCACACTTCCTAAAAAAAATACCAAGTGTAATCCAATACTTGTGGATCATTTCTCTCTTCAAAGGTGAAAAATGGCATGAAGACAGAGAGGTACTGGAGCATATGGGTTTTTCAAGCTACAGGTAGCTCCCAGTAGCCTGGAGGCTAGCTTCTTTTCTGTGCAGCTGAGGGCATTTATGCAACCGGGGGAGGAAAGAGGGAGGGGATCTCTTACACTTTTGTTAAGATAAAAACAGTCCTCACTGCAGGTATTTCTAATGAAAGCGCCACCATAACCAATCTGCTCTGTGGAGATTAGCAGGAACCCCGAGCCGTGCTGGGATCCATTTCAACATGTTTTTAGAAGCCGTTTTTGTGCTGCTACACAGAATGCAACTCATGTCATTACCAGCTGATTGGATACAGCGAATAACTGCATTAAGATCAGGGCCCGTAACCATGGTAAAGGGATTTTATACCGACAGCAGTCGCTCAGCATAAAATCACTTTAACCCCATTTTAACCTACTTTTTACTCCAAATTTCTATTTGATCTTCTATTTGAAAAAGATTCTGTGTCAGTGTAAAACCTACTGGCTTGCATGGGATAGACATGAAAGTGTTGCATCGAGGCATGACACTAGCCCTTTGATAGACCTCGTTCAATGACAAAGACCACTATCACATATGTTTTAGCAGGAATGTTGGATTACAGTCACGTTTACGGCCCACAGACTTTTATCACTGATCAGTCCAGTGAACAGTTCTATTGACTGTATAAGGCCCTTACAGAGCTTACAACCCATTGCACAATACTGTACTGGAGCACGTAAACGACACAAAAAGCTGTGATAAAAGATTGAAAAAGTAAAATCACCGGGGTGCTTTGAGAAAAAGGGTTTGCCAGAAAAGTTTACTTCTATCGAAACATATGACGAAAGGTGACGTATGTTCCTGTGCATGTTCTAACTGAACATCAGATGTGTGTACAGTGGGTGGACCAGTTTAATTTTCACCTCGCAGCAGAAAGGGGAAGGCCCCGTCAAATTAAATCGTTGACTTTCATAGCCTCTGGCTGCTGCAGTCAGACAGGGATGATCCTCGATCCCAGCCACGTCAACTCTGGCGTATTCATCAGTCAAAAGAATGTGTTATTTTTTCAGCTTTCATCTGTAAAATGAAGCAGTTTTTGGATCAGTTTGAGTCAAATATTTGGAGTTTTTATGTGTATTCTCTCTTGGATAATCATTCTCCCTCCTGTCTTGTCTCAACCTGAAACCTGGCAGGTTGTAACTGTGCAGAGAAGAGTAATACATTCCTAAAATACCATAAGGTCAGGGGACTGGAAGAGCCAATAGGTGGCCAGCTGACTGCCCTGTTTCCCCCCCTTCCCTGAAACAACAGAGAAAAAAAAAAAAAGACCTTCTCGGGGAAAAAAAAATCTCTCTGAGACCTTAAATGGGTGATCCAAAAAGATAGGGGGAGTGGGGAGGTGAATAGTTGGTACAAATTGGCCTCAGGTAGTTCTTGGATTATTTGGGTAAAGCCCATCCCCAACAAGAAGCAATGCTGATCTACTAATTGGATGTGCAACCCATATTCAAAATATATTGTTAAAATTCAGCTCAGCAACCATTTAGTGTAACTGGATAATAACCTGCATCTTAGAAGGTTTCAATTAAAAACAACAACAACAAACAAACTCTTTATTCCAGAAATGGGAGTGGAAGCCATTTGACTCGACTGGTATCCTGAACTCTGACTCACAAGGACAACAAAGAACAGTGTTCTTCTCTGTACATGTCATGACTGGTGCATACGTCTTGGTGTTTTTCAGATATTCACACTGCAGTTCCAGCCAGAGAAAATATGTCGCTAAAAGCTGTGGGGTTCATTGAGACAGATGTGCAACCACAAAAGAAACTTATTTTAAAATCCCTTCCTCTAAGACATTGCAGACACCAGCACACTGTTATGTCTTTACAGAGTCATGCACTCTTATCGCCTATTGACTCGGCCAACTATTGTTTTGTGAGCGCCACTATTTCCAAACCACATATCAAAGCGGGTTTCACTTATGTCTCGTAAGATGAAATAGGTGACATCAACAGCATTGTGTTTTTCCCTGCAGATGTGTGCTACACTGCATGCCCACAACATGACATGCCCTGCTGTGTGATGTGAATCTTTAAGCAGAAGACGTATTTTCAGTGTGAGATTTAGGCTACAATTATATTAATATTGCAGTAACGTTAGTTTTTATGGGTTAAACAGAGCTAGCAGCATAGCTAACACTGGCCAATAACCAGCACATATGGACTTAAGCTTGGCAGTACAGGAGTATGTTATTCAGGTAATTCATGCAGACATATATTTCTTCCCCTTTCCAGTTTTATGCAGAACCATCTAGGTTTATACTTACAGCTCAGACATGAGAGTGAGTTTGGTCTTCTAATCTAATCTGTCATTGCATGACTTGCAATGAGAAATAAACCTTATATCTAACTTCACTGATGAGAGCACAGAGGAAGTGGGCTCTGATCTGAAACGTTTCTTCATGCTTTACTCTTCAAAGCAGAACGACACTGATAACAGCACATTACAAACATGCTGTGTGATCATGGAAGCGGATGGATGAAGGGGCTGCTCTAATTGACCGAGTGAAATCCTATACTGCACAGTAACACAGTTTGAGGAGCTCTCATTAGATATGCCACGAAGACAGCAAAGACGCGACATCCCTGAACATCAACAGATACAAAAGCAGTCACTTCCTATGTAAATCCTTGCAAGTGCTCCACACAGGTGTTAAGCTGTGAAGTGTTACGGGCCAGTAAAAGCTTTAATAGGAAACAACCCCAAGTTCTCTCTAGCCGATAGCGGCAACAATAGTTCCACCCAAATTCCAAATACAGATTGAGTAGATGTGCAAATGTTTACTTTACAAATATTTAATAACTGAATATAATACAGCCACCCACATCATGACTGAAAGTTCAATCACAATGCACTGAAATGCACATCACGATAAAAATGCTCTTATTGTACCAGGACTGGCTTCCAAACTAGAAGCATACACGTGGTTTACAAACCAGGATTTATCTGTGTTCAGAGAACTGTGAATTCTGGTTAAAAACAAGTGTGTTTGTGAGTGTGCCAACAGCTGGACCAGCAGCAGAAACTATTAAAAATAAATCTCATCTATTCACTTTAAACAATGCGATTTTCAGTTTCGTTCATTATTGTTGCAATAATGAATAAAAAAAGACAAACCGAGCAAGTAAGAAAAAAAACTGACAGTGAGATAAAACAAATTTGTGTAAAAGTCATGTAATATGGTGATCGTGTAAAAAAAAAAAAAAAACAGTTTTGCTTTCAAAACAGGTCACCGGACGTGTTATGAGACACGTTTTCTACACGTTGACAGTGCACGGCAAAGATTTACAACGCCGCCGGGTACGAACTTCGTCGAATTACTTCCAAAGAGCGTAGAGCACCTGTCTTATATTCTCACTGTACTAGAACAAATGCCTGGTTTGGTCTAACTAAATCTGCAGACGTGGTCGCCAGCAAGTTGTTTCTCTCACAGGTAGTATGTAAGTGGAGCACAGAAACGCTCGACAGGTGACAATAAAGCGTCGTATCCTACTTTTGCGCAGTTAACCGTGCACAGTACGAGGTGAACAGAAAGTGTTGCTTTACCACGACTGTTTGCCTGCCGACATATTACCTCTAAATTAAAAAAAAGAAAAAGAAAATATAAAGCAATTTCTGAAAAATGCATTATCCGACTATACTTACAGATACTGTCTGGAGCCCACCGTCTGCTCATGCAAAGCTACAGAGAACCCAAACAAGCTCCCCCTGGTTTTCCCCTCTTTGATCACAGGAAACCGTTCATCTATATTAAATCCAGTGCAAGTTTGCGTCCAGTGGCACACGGCCAAAACAGCGCAGAGTAAAAGTCTTTCAGACATGTTTCCGTTGTTTTCTCCCTTGTTAGGTGCACTCAGCTCTCGCAGGTCCACGATCAGCGAACGAGCATGGGGTCTACTCTGGCAACTCTGCCGCAATGAGCTCCGACAGGTAGGCTGCTGCTTCGCAGAGACCTGCCCATTAACTGTGCAAAGTCACTGCCTAGGTGTCGGCGCCTCATGCTCGCTCCGCTGCCCTGCCCCTAGCGGTGTCCCTCCCTTCCTGTCAGATCTCGACATCCTTCAGAAGCAAGTGCATTAACTACAGGGAGCTGCAGACTCTAGTGGTGTGCGATACAGCGAATTTTAATATCAATCCGAAACCAAGTAAATACATGGACCGTTTTGTTGATACCAATACCGATACTTGTAAAGGCAGCTTATGCAGGGAGAAGCAGTGTGCTATGATTTATGAAATGTATCATCAATTTGGAAATCCTCTACACATTTTAATGACCGCGTGATCGGTGCGATTTTCATTTTCCACAATAATTAGTTGATACAACAAAACACACCTTTCAGCTTTTCGTCTCTTTTAATGTAATTTGAAGCTAATTTTTTTAGGAGACCTGAAATGTAGACGTGCCTATCTCTAAAGCACTTTATGTCAACTTCTGTTGTTTAAATGTGCTATAGGCTGTATAGGATTTTTTCATTGTGCACGTTTGAGGTATATTTTTTCATTTCCAAGAAAATTATTTAAATAAATCAGTGCAGTGGGGTGAATACTGAACTTGGGGAAGAGAAATAAAGTATCCTATCACACTAATATTGATCCGATACCAGTACCAGCTTTGGTATCAATATATATTTGGACCTCTAGCAGACATTCTGTAACTGTGGTTAATGGTGTGAAAACCTCGTCTGTCACTATAACTACTTGTCACTCTTATAAACCTCCTGTTCCTGCCCTCTATCGCTCTGCTGGCTGACAGAATCAGCAAGTCACTCTACAGAGGAAGACTTGTGAACACTAAACAAAAGCTACGAACGTAAGTAGCTTTTGATTTAAGGATTGCATCTTAAATGGCACCGTACCGAAATGTCTGCTATTTTTGTTACCACACACACACACACACACACACACACTGCTGCAGTGGCGAATGGTTTGCTTTAAAAGAAAAGGAAACAAAACTCAATATGAAAGGATTTCCGCTCGTAGCAGACAGCTAATTTGAATCAGGCATTTCACACATCAGGATTACTCTTGAATGCTCAGACTCTAAAAAAAAAGATATTTAACTTTTCCATATGCTTATCAACATCATGAAACCATCAGAGGAGTTTCTTCCAGCTAAATGATCTCTGTTTTAGTATTTTCAGCTTATATTTTGAGTATTTTTAATCTAAGAGTTGCATGATATACATGGCCCGCCCCTCACATGAGCACTCTTGTGACAGCCATCGTTTGCCTCACTCCACTGCCTATTGCTCAAACTTCTGGTGTCCAATGGGAAGTTTATTAAACCCTTAATCTCCTTAGTGAGTTCATGGAACAGGCCAGAGTTTTTTAAAGCAGCCTTTCCTTCTCTCAAATCTCCCTCCACCCCAGTTCCTCTCAGGTTTTTTTTGTACTTGCTTCCTTTCTTTATCAAGAAACTGCAGCTCCATCTCCTCCCTATTTTCCTGTACTCCACAGCAATGTGCTATCTTTCATCATGTCTACTTTATTGGCTGGCCACTGGCTAAAACCTGGCCTAGCTGACCTTCTCTAATTGATGGAGTAAGCTCCCACTCTCCCCCTTCATCCTTTAGGAGTTGCTCTCTCCCAGAAGTACTCTCTCCTTCATCCCCAGTGAAATAATGCCCCTTGGGGGGTTGTAGTTCACTGTGCACTTTTCACAGGCAAATTGCAAACATTTCATCTACTCTTTTTAAAGAAAAAAGTGTGTCTCAGGTATTTAGTGCAGGTTTTTTAGTCATTGCAACTGCTCATAGGTCTTCAACATCACTGTTTGGATATACACAAGAAAAAGTGTGTTGGAAAACAAAGAGAACAACTGCAACGAGCAGGTTAAGTTGCATTCCACAGATTTTAGTGTAGCATGAAGTCTGCCCTGGAAATTGGTTGGAGGTCATGTGTCAGACACCCTATACTTTTCAGTTGTAGTATAGCAGCATTGGTACATTTGGGGCACTATCTTGCAAATGAATGTTCTTCTTTTACACAGGTGAGTGCACAAAATGTCTGTGTCTACAGTGTCAACATCCTGTTGTGACCTTATCGAGGCACTCATCTGGTACAGCGCTGACGTTAAACAGATACGAGTGTGCTCCAACTCAGTGGAAGACAAATGTCCTGAGAGGAACTTAAAGCGAAAAAAGAACAAGAGATGAGCAGCCTGACCTCCCCCTTTAGACTGGTCTGTGCCATACCATTCCATAGTAAAAGGGCTGCAGAACATCTGATCCTTAACCCCTTTAGCTCTTAGACCTGCCTTTTTATCACCTGAGAAGTGTCCCCTGGGAAGCTGACAGATAATGACAAACCCTGTCTCTATGTATTAGCAATGTGAAATTGCGCTGACAGCCAGCTGTAAATCACTTTTATGACTCTGTTTCTTATCATAGAATTAATGGGAGTTTAAAAAAATACAAAAACTATATCTAAATATCTAAATTAGTCACAAAACAGGAGTTCACTTTAAGACCCTACATACAGCAAGAAAAAAAATGTTCCAACTTTTAAATATGTATTCTCCTGACCCACATGTAAGCTAACACCAGTCTCTGTGAACCATGGGGAAAAAGAGCAAAATACACTTGGTTCCCCTAGAGTCTCTGTTCTGGAACTGTTAACCCACAAGACACACATGGAATGTAATTTGCAATTTATCTGCCGGCTTCCTGTTTTGTTTTTTCTCTACCAAATCAACCACCATCCCATCCCCCATCACCATAGTGCATAACCCACTCAAAAACCTAAATTCAACCCTTCCCCTAATTCAAATTACTACAATGTTTGTCTTTCTGCACCAGAACATCCACTTAATTCATCAGGTTAGGATTATATGCTTACAGCATCTTCATGCTCAGCTTTCCTGCTGCTTTGTGGTTTGTTACATACTCCAAACTGAGCTCTATGAAGGCCTCCATTGACAGAATGCTGAAGGCTGATGGGGTGGATGCTATGTGGAGTTCTGATCTGAATGCCTGATAGTGGAAATGGACTTGTGTATTGTAGAGGGCTGTGGAAAGAGCAGAAATGTGAGGGCATGATTATCCTCCATAACAGTCCCATAATAATTAATCTTCCTGACAGGACTTTGTACTGTACTCCCCTGCCTTGTAAACCTGAAATTACACAGATTTTTTAAAAGCATAACTAGATGGCATCCTCATCTTGAATTTCTATGAATATTAATCCACATTAGCTGAACCGGAGAACAGAACATACAGAGCAGAACATTGACTAAATATGAAACACAGCACGCTCTCACACCGAGCCCTGGCTGCCCGGTGACGGCTGAGCTGCTTGTTGCCATGGAGCTGAGAGTTGCTATGAAGGCAGCATGTTCCGAGCGGTGGTAATGTCTGTCGAGGACACTGTGGTCTGTTTAAACTCCAGCAAGTACTCTTGCTGGGCTCAAATGACCTTTCGCAGGACAGAACACAATCTATTCAGGAAACCTAAGAGTATTTATGCACAAAGCACACAAATAATGTGTTCTTTATAGCAGTGTGGACACAACTTCTTCTGCACTCTTAGTGTACCTATATAAAGTGAACTTTTGTCCAACCAGCAGGAGACAAAAGACAACAAACTCCATTTTTTCCCCTGCTGTCTGGCCCCAGAGTAATCTATTTTTATAACAAAATATGAATAAAACATGAGCGTAATCTAATAATATGACATTTATTCTCATAAGCCTGAATATTGTTCCCTAGTTTTTAAAGAAAAAAAGTTGCAGGCAGCACAGCACCACTGTAGGGCAGTCCATAAAGAGGTCATAGTCACATCGCCCCATTATATCTCCCAACAAATGTTCACAACAGTAAGAAACAACTGACAGTTTGGTATGAAGGCAAGAATTTTACCCATTTTATCAACTGAAATCTCATTATTAGACAGATCTTTAGCTTGAGATTGAGGAAGCAAAGGGTGGAACCCCCTTAAGGGCCACCACACACATTATGATTATATATGGAACAGTTTGCCTGAGATTTCCATCTTCCTTGTTTCTGCGGTTTTGCCGAATCCTCATTTGGGAGTGGGAGTGTGGCGTTTGAAGTTTTCCATGCATCTGTGCCGTATACAAATGTGTTCATGGTATGTGTCTGTGTAGGTGTAAATATTTGAGAGTATATGCTCACATTTGTTCATATGAGCGTGGGGGGATTTATGTCAGGATTCACATGTCTGTGTTTGGTTTGTGTGTGTAACGGGAAGGAAATGCAGCAGGGGTTTAGGACCTACGCATGTCTGGGGTGGGGGGTGTAGGGTGGTCCTCTAGTGCTGTAGCATAGGAATGTATAGCCTGAAGAAGAAGGCGTGGCCCTGAACACTCTCCCTACTGTCCAGAAGCACCTGTTTTTCAGCTTAGCTTTCAGATAGAGAGCTGGGAAACAGTGGGATGTAATGACTGCATGACAGCTGCTTCAATTCCACAATTCACACACTCATTTCTAACTCAGTCCCCAGATACCGAACACATTTTATCTTTAAACTTCTTTAAAAACAGTAGTTTTGCATTTGGAGAGTTGACTTAGGGATTGATAGCAATTTCATATCTTTTACATTAAAACTGAAAAAAGGAAAACATAATTTTACCTGCCCAAAACCAACCAGTTATTGGTTAATTTCTCCTTTAGCCAGTTCTG